TGCTTTGTACTCTCCCTGCCTTTGTCTGGTTCACTAAAACACTAAGAAACCGTCGTTTTCCACGTTTTTCTTCAATCAAGTTGAGTTAAGGCCTGAAAAGTTCGAAGTTTGAACTTGACGCTTCTTAAATCCATCATTCGTTCTCAACCCTGGACATAGCAGCATTTGGAGCATGAGCAGACACGTTTGCTCGCTACAAAGGGCTCTTTAAAATAACCCATTTCCAATTTGCCTTAATGAGGCCATTCAAGCTGTCACCGGCACTCTGAGAAAGGCGCTCTGCTAACCTGTCAATTTGTGAAGAGAAAGGAGGATGAGATGAAGGGATGTGAGAAAAGGAGGAACAAACGGGTTTAAATAAGTGCAGAAAGGTTAAGAAAAGATGATAATAGTAGAGCTTCAGGCGGAAAAAGAAATGGAGTGTTATTAGTTTGTCTGGATCTTAGTTAAGATTCCTTTGAACACGTCGAGTATTTACACAACCAGACAAAGACAATAATCGACACTTGAAGAGACTTTTGGCCATTCTGAATCTGTGTCTGTTTAAAACTTAAGAATTATTTACATCTGAGTTTAATGAACGGCCTCAACTTAGAGAAACTGAGTTTACGTCCAACAAGACTGATGAGCTAACAGCTAGGCTGAGTGCTGCCATATTTGCTTGGTGAGTACACAACCGGGGTTTCCCCTGGTTTTCAAAGTTTCACGGTGGTAGCAGCTAGCGGGGGAGAAGTCAGGAGTGGATTGCTGCTGCTGGAGCTCTGCTGTTGCCGAACCAAATTCACAGAGCCAGGCATCTGGGGCAAATGTTACTGCACATTATACTCGTTTGTTCACTTTATTAATATTGACAGGCACAATTTCAAACTGCCAGTGTGCATTGTGGTATTTTCCATTAATTACCGTCATCAAAACAATGAGAAATAGACTTTCATTGACCCAAAATGTGGAATGCAATTGTTTCATAATTCTCTACAGTTTACATGCAGGTGTAGTTCAGTTACAGATGATTATGATTGCATCAAAGGAAATTTACATATACTTTATTTGACATTAATTGCTTTATATTATAGTCGACTAAAATAAGACTACAAATCAGATTCCGGCTCTTGGAGAGTTCAGACGCTTTTTTTCCTCCTCTCCTCCCTATTTTACCCCAAGGGTCTTTGTCTGTCTTTGGGTGTACGGCGCTTCTGCATTTTTTCTGGAAACTGGAAAGTATTAAAAATGGACCTGGTCAGTTGGTCTCTCAATGCGATTGACAAGATTTTTTCAACGATGAGAACGGGAGAAGGGGCTCCCGGCTGCCCCTCTGGGACAGAGCCAGCTGGGCATATCATGGACTCCTGGAAACAGTGGAACCTGATCTGCCTCTCTCAGCTGTCTGTAGAGGATTCTGAAGACGGCTGGATATTCGTGGTGTTGGTGTCAGGTTTCTTGCTTTTTGGCCTGAGTAGTAATCTGGCTTACCGGAAATTTAACGAGCTATCGAGGAATATTGGCTCAATCCCGGAGCTCAGGGATGGATTACACCACGTTGTGAACGCAAAAACTCATAATTGTTGAGATGAGTCGTAAGCTTGGAACTTTGGCTGAGATTCAGACTCTGGCACAGAAGGTGGATTCGATCAAGGAGAAAGTTAACGTATCAGCACAGATTGGGATAGATTAATTTACTCCATTATTGGATCTAGAGGGCTTGGAGATCAACAGAACTTTAAGACAGAGAGGAAATTATCTCTGTCTGGCCCCAAAACAAGTTCTTATCTGAATCTGGTGCCCTTGAGCCTGTGAGGCTGGAGATTACGCCACCTCAGAAGAAATGTGGAATGCAGCCGTTGCCATGGCAACTCTGTCTCCCTACCCCAGCCTGGGCGGGACTGAGACCGGTGAAGGCCGTGGAATCATTCCAGGAGTCATTGTGCTCTCTAAACTCAACTACCTCCCTCCCCTGTCCAAACGGAGGTGACGAGCGCTGCTTATCGTGGCTGCATGCACTGATGTGAGGAAAGTCCCCAACCCCACCTCCACACCTAGCATAGCAAAGCTGCCCTCTCTGTGGAGGGTAACTCTGAAGTGTGTTTTTTTCCTCCACCTGAACCAATCCTCATGTATAAACCCCTCTGATCTCTATTAAGGTAGCACGACTTGGGTTGCAAATGACCACAGTCACCAATTCTTGTCATGTGTCTATATGTATGTATGTCTGATCTCAGAATTGTGTGTACTGAAACTCTAATTTCTTTCTGGGATTAATAAAGTATCTTTGAATTGAATTGAAATAAAACAAATTGGATGACAAATTGTGACTAAAACTAAAGCTATTATGTGTGCTGTTATGTAAATGACTTTAGTAATATCACAATAAAACTATGGTGGTTATTTGCATTCATTTTCTACTGGAGACACACGTAGCGAAGGTCCGATAAATTACCCGGATGTTCTGATGGTGGAAACGAGCCTCAAGATGATCATGTAGTTCCTGCCTAAGTGGTGGTCCGCGTAAAAGTCAAATTTATACTTTTGACAATCGTCTTTTAGCAATTCATCGGAAACATTTGCCGTATCGACATTGCACACAATGATAGCACCTCAAATTAATTTAGCATAAAGAGTACAGCCCTAGTTAAAAGCTTCATCGCCGAGTCGAGCAAAGTCACTCTCATAAAACTTCTCAGAGTTAGTCAGTTTCAAAGGAAAAGCCCCTTAGTGCATGGCTATTAACACGTAATCACAAGTGGTACAATAATGACAAATGCCCTTAATTTTTTTTAGAGGGCAAGGTAGACGCCGGTGTCCGGGCCTCGTCTTCGGAGGAAAACACAGAGGGAACTTAGGCGTTAGATGATGCGTTTAATTCACACAGGAATACATTAATATGATAGTCAGTGGAGCGGCAAAGCCCTCAAGTAAGGTTCTCTCATTAGTATGTTTCTCTATTTCTTTTTTTAATTATTCAACAAAAAGAGGAGCTGCGTGACAGATGTATTGGCTGTGTCAAGAAGGGATGATTTGAATTTGAATTGTGCATAAAGTCGTGCAATTATAAGAGCTCATTTGTGTGTGTGAACAAAATATTTGCCTCTAATGAGTGTTGGCTCTGAAGCATGTGTCAAATCAGGGGTTAGGTTTTAATGCATTGTTTATTCTTTTTCCAAGTAGCCTCCTCTTTTTTTTAGAGGAGTGTCATAAATATTAAACAAATACACAATGTGAGAGAACGCATTTGTCTGGGCATCGACGGTGACCTGCTAATGCAACACTTGGAGACAGCCCCGACGAGTTTCCCCTCTCCCCTTATCGGATTCTCCGACTTCAAAAGCATACCATTTAGCAAGTGCAATGCTCCGTGCAGGCTCGATGCTTGTACGAGTCACTCTCGGTTCATCTCTCTATCGGCTCACTTTAGTGTTGTCGTAACTGGTTGGCGAGGCTTTCATCATACTTATAAAGTAAACACCTGATCTGCACACACTGAGGAATTATTGTCTCCTGGGCTCTTCATGATCGCACCACCCGAGCCAAAGGTGTGACAGCGGGGAATTATTGATGGCATTCTCCTTGTAAATGCCTAAAACATCAACATTGCAAAAACGATAAACATTTTTAAGCTTTATCTCCAGTTTCTAAACTTTCACTGATCAACACATGAAAGGAGCTTGTGGGCTGTGAAGACTGTTTTGTATAGATGTGTAATGAACAAAGCCAGGGCTGTTAGGATTTATTAAAATAAAACATCTCTTCAAATCGTGTCACCTGCTGTATTAAAGGGACTTTTAAGCCAGGTTTGTGTGGCCTAGCAAGAATAGTCTGACCACGGACCACTGACAGCTCTTAGCCGTGGGGCGGGATCTACGGTCGTCTTTAAAACGGTCTCCGCATGCTATTGGATAACAACGTGATGTGCTCACCGCTACAAATTTCAGTCCAACAAGGCAGTCTGCCAAACTCTGTCAACGAAGATGCAAACAGAAGCCCAAGTCTAAAACGGTCCAAAGATGATTCCAAAGCCGTGTCAAACAAGCCTTCGCCATCTTTGTTTTTTCAGTAACATCCCGCCCGCCAACAGAGTGCCGATCGGCCCGCCAAATCCCTAGAGCGCCGAGATTGGACTGCTGCAGAGCAGTTGCCATCGTAGCTTCACGGAGTCATTCTAGAATCCCGCCTACCCGATTGATAGAGCGCTGATTGGCCCACCAAATCAACTGAGCGCTGTGATTGGACTGCTACGGATGTCAGCCAACAGGGAAATCTGCCATGCATCTTGCAAGAAGCAGGGACGAGGACTAAAATACATGTTTTTTCTAAATAAACGTGCTGTGATTGCCCAGCCACATGACTGGCTTGGGCTGTGGAGGCTCCATTCGAGCGTTTCTTGAACAAAATAAAAAGCTTAATTATTTTGCTTCGGAAAATGACGGTCCAGATTCTAGGCCAAGTTTGGTGTGTTTATGTGTGAACATTATAAATACTATATTATATATTTTAGTTAGCTCTCTGAACATCCTTTACATGGGGGGAAAGTGATTCCAACAGGATTGATACGCTAATGGCTAGTCAGAATACAGCCAAGAAGAAAGAAGGTTTAAAACTCATATTCGATTGTTTTCTCAACAGTTCCGGTTCTGTTCATACCTTTATGGACAGAATTTCTAGACGCAGTCATGGTGTGGAGTGTGTCGAGTTTGGTGGCAGGAGAATCTCGTCTCTGCTTTTTGCGGATGATGTGGTCCTCCTAGCTTCATCCAGCTCTGACCTTCAGCTCTTGCTGGGTAGGTTCGCAGCCGAGTGTGAAGCGGCTGGGATGAAGATCAGCACCTCCAAATCTGAGACCATGGTTCTCGACCGGAAAAGGGTGGCTTGCCAACTCCAGGTCGGGAGAGAGGTCCTACCTCAAGTGGAGGAGTTTAAGTATCTCGGGGCCTTGTTCACGAGTGAGGGTAGGAGGGATCAGGAGATCGACAGGCAGATCGGTTTGGCATCTGCAGTGATGCGGACGCTGAACCGATCTGTCGTGGTGAAGAGGGAGCTGAGCCAGAAAGCCAGGCTCTCGATTTACCGGTCGATCTACGTCCCAATCCTCACCTATGGTCATGAGCTTCGGGTAATGACTGAAAGAACGAGATCGCGGATACAAGCGGCCGAAATGAGTTTCCTCCGTAGGGTGGCCGGGCTCAGCCTTGGAGATAGGGTGAGAAGCTCGGACATTCGGGGAGGACTCTGAGTAGAACCGCTGCTCCTCCGGATCGAAAGGGGTCAGTTGATTGGGCATCTGGTCAGGATGCCTCCTGGACGCCTCCCTGGGGAGGTGTTTCGGGCAGGTCCTGCCAGCAGGAGGCCCCCGGGTCGACCCAGGACACGTTGGAGAGGTTACATCTCCAATCTGGTCCGGGAACGCCTTGGGGTCCTGCCGGAGGAGCTGGTGGAGGTGGCCGGGAAGAGGACGGTCTGGAGCTCCCTAGTTGAGATGCTGTCCCCGCGACCCGGACCCGGATAAGCGGAGGAAGACGACGAGAATTTGTGAATGCCTTTTGAGTTGTTCTCTGTGCAAAAAAATAAATAAACAAACCACCTGGTGCTCCTGTTGCAGGAAGTAGAAGTTAGCTTGCTAAATACTGTAGCTCCTCTGGCTAACTACAAGTTAGTAAACATAACTATAGCACTGTTGTTTTGATGCTGCTTTTAAGATGTGAGCTTTTCCATATTCTCGTTATTGTTGTGTTTTAATTTTCCTTGACACAGTTAACTACCTCGAGCTCCACTGCTTTGACTTGAGGTTAACAACAACCTCCTGCAAAAGGTTAGGCAGGTAATTCATCGCCTGATTAGGCCCACTCTGCAATTAATCATGCTTAAATGAATCCCCTTGCAGAGCGATCATTTAGGAATGATGATTAATGGAGGCGTCAGACATGTTGCACACGCCTATCCTTATTGGGCAGCTCCATTAATTGGTGTCACCGGTGTCAAAAAAAACAAAAAATGTCCAAAAAGCTTCCACGCCCTAAAACGGAGCTGAGGACCTTGTAAATAGATTGCGTCTCTTAGTTTTGTTCCTCTGCTTTTGTTCCTCTTTGAAAAGCCAGCTGCAGCACGGCGGAAGAGAGTTTCTGGGAAACCGGCGCACATCAAAATACAGGTGCAAGGTCAAGAGGACGAGCGGCACACCTTGTGGGCACGAGGGACGCCGTGTGAGACAGTTGTGTGTCAGAAAATGTTGAGTCAATTAATTACTGAACCTGGCAAGAGATCAGTCGTTCCAGTAAGGTGATCCCATCTCCGACAGGCGGCACATTGCGACAGTAACCGGTGACAATGTTAATCGCCAACACAACAGCAGGATAATTCCCACATGTCATTAGTCTACATTTTAATTCATAGAAAAACTCACTTTTCTAAACTCACTTAATTATGTACTTACACTTAATTATAGACCCCCTCCACCCGCCTGTCCTCTTCCCCAGTTTGTTGTCAGTGCCACAGATGGAGGGGGAAAAAACATATTTATTTTGGGGAAAGACGAAATAAAATGAGGACTCCACCTGGGAAAGGAGCGGCACGTCTCTGCTGAGTTGAGCCGCGTCTGGTAGGAATTTACTGGATTAGCTCAGTCACAAAATGTGAGATGAACCACATTGTCAATCACCCTCAGGGCAGAGCGGGAGAGGAAGAGCTGTCAATCAAAGCAGGTCTTCAATCGTCCCATTCACATCGCCTCCTGGAATCAGTCTCTCCCGCTGACTGCTCTTTGACATTTAACGCACTGGGGCCACGGAGATGGGAAAGGAAAAAACAACCTCAGATCTTCACTTTCTTTCTTTCCTTCTTTTCCCTGCGTCAGTCTGCTTTTGTGCTTTAGCTGAGGCAGATATGTGTTTAAAGTAATGACACTGTTAATTTAGAGGGAGACAATTACCAGGTAGAGACTGCGGTAAAGCTAAAAAGTTGCACCATCTCCACTGGTGGCAAAAGTCGGAGCAATATGCGGGACCTTGGGAGTCATAAATTACCAGAAGGGGACATATGACTGATTTTATTAAGTTATAATAGTTCAATGGAGTTCTTTGCACTAAATCCATCTCACATGAAGCAATTTCAGCTGATTTTTTCCAGACATTTTCAGTACCTTCCAGAATGAGCTGTTTCAGGGCTCTGTCACTTTTATAAAACAAGCTGGAGCTGGCCACGCCTACCCATCCCCGCTCAGGCTGCTATAAGCCGAGAAGCTCCGATATCTGGGAGGGGTTCAAAGTAAAGCCGCACTGGCTCTCTCTTGCCCGTGAAAGGCAGTTCTATGCTAATTTCTCCATTTGTGACATCACAAAAGGGACCTTTGTGAAATGGCTTGTTTTATGCACATAAAATCAAACAGACAAAATGGACGGGTTGGTTTTTGTCTTGTTATGCAGTAGAGACCCACAGGACAGCACAGAGGAATGCAAAAGGAGAGTTGTGCACAATATGTCACATTCAATAATTCACTGCCAGATTAAAACATCTAGCTCCCCTGTAATACCGTTTCTTTCAGGTCTCTATTTTGATGCATCATAAAACTCCTAAAGAACATACATTTGCAGAAGCTCCAGTAACAAGCGCACTCCAGTTGTGTATGCAGCCCAGAAAAAAGAAATGGCACCTAAAAAAAATGACTAATCTGCTGAACAGATAATACCTCCTGCTGGTAAAATAGAGTCGTCGTTTCTTCTTCTTCTGTGTGTTTTCTGCCGTCTTGTTTGTATTCCAGGCCACTCGCCTGGCTCTGACTGAGGTATACAGAGTCATTGCTCTTTTGGCTCCAGCCCTGACACTTGTGCCCCCAAGTGTGGACTCCTTAGCCGCGATCTGATCAGCATCTTTATAGTTTATCAGCCTTGGGGTTCAATTTTGGCTTGGATGCTTTTACAAATGAATGCAATCACTGGTGAGCCTTCGCATCCTGATTGCATTGAGAGAAGCGGGCGGAGGAAAGTTTAGTGGATTATCGTGCCACTTGAGGATGGAGCACAAACACACTCAGGCAGGCGCAGAGGGGGTGGAGGGGGGACTCCTGTCCCTCCCTCCCCCTGCCTGGGCTATTGGCACTCGCTGCTTGTACTCTGTCTTATTTCACTAAAATAATATAATTGTCTCCCATCTTATTGCTTGTAAAGCCATCTTCTGTCCGCAGGCGATGTGTGTGATCAATGTACTATCTAACAGAATCAATTCTTCCAGGAATACCTTGTGTTTGTGAAATGATCCCAGGCAGCTGCAGCAAAAGACTTGGCTGAAAGTGGGATCTTGAGGTACTCGGATTAGTTTAGCGACTTGGACCCTCCAGTTCACGTTGAACAGTATGGCTCCTCGCCCATTTCTCATGTTCCTCACTCTGTGTGTGTGTGTGCGTGTGTGTGTGTGTGTGTGAAGCATGCTTCAAGGGAATTCACTTTCATATTGCCCGTTCCTGCATCATCCGTTGAACATCTTCTAAGCAGTTTACTCCACATGTAACCGCTTCAGTTCTGGGCCTCATGAGATGTTTGCAAGTGTGTGGGAAAACGGTAATAAATGTCGTGTCATCTGTTGGGAAGAACACAAAACAGATCTCTTGAATTTTCCAAGGAAACAGAATTTGATCCTATCACTCATGGCATTTATGTGTCTGCGTGGCTCCATGTGTGCATTTCATTTATCAGCAGTGACATTAATGGTCGTCTTTAATACTTGCTGTGAGAAACATTTCACGTCTTGTATAGAAAAAGGGAAGCGGGCCGTTTGTGTTGTTTTGTGCACTTAATAAAATTTCCTGCAATAAAAATTTGGCAGACTTTCATCTGAAATAAATTACAAGTAAATACAAGTAAAAGAGCCTAAAGACAGAGAGAATGAATGAATCACCTGCTCCCAATGTGCACTCCTATATCTCTACAGCTAAACAGTGATATTTATCAGGAGGATCGGAGAGAGTAATAGGGCTAAAAACTCTTACAGATGGGAAACGGTGGAAATAGACATATTTGCAGATGAAAACTAGAGATGGACAACTGAGGAGTGAGATCAGATCGTGGAAAATACTTTTGACGGGTCAGGCTTTTGGGATCTGAACTGGAAATCTCTGACCTTTGCACTGATTGAGTTTGTTTTTGCAGATGCACGAATGTGGAAGTTGCATGTTCATCAAAATGGAGAGTGTGGGTGACGTTTGAAGCCTCCTGTTGAAGAATGGCGTCTATTGAAATGGAAAAAAGCATTTAGTGTTGTCTTCGTACAACACAAATGAAATAATCCCGTTTTACAGCGCTGGGATTGGAACCCACGTAGGGTAGGAACAGCTCCTTAGTGTACCACGTTCCTTCTGTAAGGATCCAGGTGTGCTTCAGCTGCAGTGATAGTTCCAGCTTTGATTTAATTCACGGGAGAACAGCGTCACCAAACTGTCTGTCGATAAGATCGCTGCTGTGATTGAGTTGCGTTTTATTGCATTTGTGACTTGAGTTCAGTCTGTTGCTTTGCAGTTTACCTGAGAACGGCTCAGCCAGCATGAGAAGTCGGCTCTGAAATCCTTTCATTTCCTTTGTGAAACCACATGTTGTCTCATATTAGCTGGATAAAGCACCCGAGTGCCTTCATGTCTCTGCACCTCCGACCTGGCTGAGCTCTCCGTTCTTTCCCTTCCTCTCACTTGTTTACTTTGCTGCAGTCTTATTGTGATGCGTTTTGTTTTCCCTTTATTTACCCCCCCCCCCCCAGTATGGGTAGGCTCTGCGTCGCCGGGCCCTGGGTCCGTTTTTTGGGTAGCACAGGAAGTGAAACTGTAACACAGAGTTCACTGGTAATTGGCCACGGTCACGCTAACCAAACAGGAAGGAATCTGCAACTGATTAGAATTCTTCCTCCTGCAATAATACCCCGCTCCTCAACCCCCCCGCCCGCCCGCCCCCGCAAAATTAATTACATTTGGGGTCTATTCCCACTATTGGTTTTCCTGTTTTGAAGCTACGTTATAAAGGGACAAATCCCAAGACAACACAGAGAAGCTAGTTTTTCAATTACAGAGACAGACTAAGTCAAAAAGGGTTGAAGAGGCACAGACAGGCATCCGTCTCACCCTCCATCCAGATGGGGGGGGGGGGGGGGGGGCTGCGCTGATCGGTCCTGACGAAAACTGCTGAATAATCTGACACACACACACACACACACACACACACACTTACACTTCCTGGTCTCTTCTGTCCTCAACACACTACAAGTGTTTTACTCTTTTTGTTAAAGGAAATCATTTCTCTGTGAAGTACATTTTATTTAACATCATGAGATTTAAAGAGCAAGTCACCCCCAAATCAACTATTTTTTTCTGATAAACTATATAAATGTGTGTCTAATCGTGCTGCAGACACGTGTAGTCAATAGTTTTGTACTTTAGTGCATTTTTGTTAAAATTTAAATTTTCTGCCTGAAACTGGCAGTGTTGTGTGCCGTTGTCAGGTAAAAACTCTGCAGTGCAATTTAATTTAAATCTGCCATCGCTATTGGCTAAGAGGTATGCTATGATGTAAACTGGTACATTATGATGTCACAATGTCGTGTGTGTGTGTATTTGTTAGCGGCTCCACTCTCTCGGTCTGCTAGGCAACAGCATTTGTTGCATTTTTCAAACATGAAGTGGGAGTGAAGTGTGCTTCTTGTAGGGGGTGACTTGCTCTTTAAGACGGCTTATTTAGCAGCTAACATTTTAAATTTCAACACATTTTTATTCCGTGTTTACACCGCAAAAAACCGATTTCCAAGAGAGTTAGAAAAGCCCTTTTTAATTCGTGTCGGCTTATTTTAAATCTAAAAAGAAAAAAATGCTCTTTTTGGCAAAACCATGAAGTAAATATTCTTATATATGCGATTACATTTTGTTTTTGTTTTAAAAACTGCCAACGAGTTAAGAAAAGTTGTTCTGCTAGAGTTCTTAAAACTATAAAAATAATTGAATGTTACATTAATCTGTTTCTTTTTAAGTGGTGCTGTTCTGTTTATTTTTGGAGCACAAATAACCTAAAATGTCTAAAAAAAAAGAGTTTTTTTTACTGTCTTGAAAATCAGTTTTTGCAGTATAACAGCCAATTCAAGCCAGATGTTTTTGCAGACTAATAATTTGTATCAGTGACGGGACCCAATAAAGGAAGCTTATTTATAAAAACTGTTTATAATATAGCTGCATCCTAACGCATAAAACCACTGCACGATCAGAAACAACTGTAGGATGTCCCCATGAAAGGAACGTTTTCTTCCCCTCCAGTTCTGCAGAAACCAAAGTAAAGCCTGTGTGAACATCCTTTCAGAGTTTTTCTTCACACGAGCGTTCTCCTGGTGGTGACAAAGTCGTTTCACAAAGGACGTTAAGCACATAAGAGCTCCGGGATCCCCGTGATGCTCATGAAATGCTAGAATATTGTAGCGTTTGGCGCATTTTTCAAAATAATGTGGAAATAAAATTAAGAAGATACATTTTCATCTTCACAGAGAGAAGCGCCAGAGCTGTTTCAAAAATAAATGAATCCCTAACAATGTTTTTGATGTCCTATATTTAAATTTGTACGGTTACTTACATTACTCCTACTTCCCCGGTCTTGGAACTAATCCGATTGATATGGAAATGGGGTGCTGCGTTTTATGACTGAGTTGCAGAGACACAGAAAGGAATGAAAGCGCAGGTTCGCTCCTGCTTTAAATGTGCAAACACAGATTTTTAGAATCATATGGTTTCATGGAGAAGGTTAGAGAGGATTACACACACCAGCAGCAGCTCCACAATGAGCCACTCTTTCATACTGGACATAAAAGGGTTCATTAGGAACAAATAGAAAAATATCAATTCAGTCACAGACATATTAAACATCAGCTTACGCGTGTTTTATGAGCCAGCTATGTTGTAAAATTGTTTTCTTTATTTAAATGTATTTGTAAAAAGACTCAAAGCGCTAAACGGCAAAGAACTATTCAAACGATGAATTTAAACTTCATTTAAAGGAATTTAAAATGTATTTTCAGACCTTTAAAAAGCACTGGGAGTGTAACTTTTTATTTTAACAGGTTATTTCAACACAATATCTAAAATACATACCATAGATTTTTAATCATTTTTATTTCTCTTTACATTAATTTATTTTCTAAATTTCATAAAGAACTTTGAGGTGTTTTCTAAAGCTCAGCCCCATTACTCACACGTGTCGTGCAGCCATGTAACATTCATACCGGTATCTCCGAGCTTCCTGCTCTCTACTGAGCGAGTCCCTCTCTGCACAGACTCCCCTCCTTTTTTATCTTAAGCAGGATTTTTAAATCATCACTTACCAGCTCTCCTCCACAGCTACACAGCCGCTCCAGCTTGTGTTGCCTGTCATCGGGAATGAAAATCGGGGAATGGGCTGGAAATTGGAACCATCGAGGATGCCGTC